ACCGATTGCAAAATCGGAGGCGTCACAGACGACGCTAAACGGACTATCCGGGTCCGGTAGCGCAAGGATCGGAGCCTGGAGAAGACTCTCCTTCACAGCCTCAAAGGCTCCGTCGTGCTCGACGTTCCAGCACCATGGTGCGTCCTTCTTAAGGAGATCTGATAATGGCCGAGCCATCTCCGCGTAGTTCGCGCTGTACTTGTGCAAGGAATTGGCTAAGCCTAGCTACTTGCGTAAGTCTTTTTTGGTTCTTGGGAACCCGGACAGTCCCGCGATGGCCTTGAACTTTGGCAGGATCTGCCCGTAAGCCACGCTTCCCAATGAAGCACCCGAGGAAAGGTATCTCCTCCGCGCCAAAGACGCACTTGTCCAAGTTGGCATACAACTTATTAGTGCGCATGCACTCGAGCACCGCTCGCAAGTGGTCAATGTGGTTATCCACGTCTGACTTTCCGTGCTCGGCACGACTATGGACGAATATATCGTCCAAGTACGTTTGAGCGTACGCCCGGTGGGGCCTAAACAGCTGCGTCACAAGACGATTGAACGTTGCTGGTGCGTTCGACAGCCCCTGGGGCATCACCAGCCACTCCCAGAGCATACCGCTCGGAGTACTCACCGCTGTCAGCGGAATGTCGCTCGCTCTCATGAGCAATTGGTAGTAGCCATCGACCAAGTCGAGCGCGCTGTACAGCGTACAGCCTACCATGTTGTTCTGCAGAACATCCTTGCGAGGAAACGGCGCTTGCGCCTGGATAGTGGCCGCATTTAGCTTGTTAAAAGCATGAACAATGCGCCACTTGCCGTTCGGCTTTCTGACACAGAACGTGGGTGTCGAGTGCGGAGACTTACTCTCACGCACCATCCCTGCCTCGTGCTTCGCACGGAAGAATGCGTCAATGACGTCACACTGCTCTCTCGGCAAAGGCCATTGCCTTGTTACGCAGTATTTGGTTCCAGGAACCAGGTCAATCTCATGACACACGCCTCGATCCGGAGGCAGGCCCGTCGGTGGGTCTTTTGAGACAACGTCTCCATACTCCTTCACCACCGGGTAGAAGGGATCCGAAGGATATTTGAGGATCGCCGATCCACTTCTTGCGCTCAGCGCCTTCTTGGTGTCCTCTAGGACCGCGTCGTCCACGACGGATGAGAAGTTCAACTCCTCCTCAGGTCCCAGCAAGACCACCTCGGCTAGCTCGCCTGCCTTTAAGGATTCGCCAAACTCGGCAATGGACATCTCGTCCAGCTCTAGCAGAGCATCTGCAGCGGGCAGAGTATTAAGGCTGATATCGCCTTCTACCTCCCCCGTCACTCCGTTCACGAGTGTATACAGCTGTTCACAGCAATCACGTGGAGCATCATTGCTCGTCACGTTGGACACATCGTCCGACGTCGAAGACGTCACAGACGCCCTGCGTCTTCTTCTCCTCTCCCTCCGCGACCGAGCCCGGCCGGATGAGGGCGGTGTGGCGACATCTCCGTCACCACCACCGGGTGCAGCAGCACCATCACTCCTCGAAGATGATACAGTGTCTCGCAAGACACTCCGCTGAAAGCCAAGAGATTCTTGACCTTCACACAGTGAACTAGGTGTCACTTCACCTGCATCTCCTGGGCCACGCCCATGATGCCTCGACTCGCAGTCGACCGCGACCCTCGGGTCACGCAGCGGTAGGTCATCGACCAGATTCGTACCACTCAGTGGATTACGCGCCACTCCGCGCTCGTCCTCACCAGGACCCAGCAGTTGGTCATTGAGCTGACCTGCACCGCTCCGGGGATAACGTGCCGCACCACGTACGCCCTCAGGCAAACAGCAACCTCGTTGCTAACAATTTCGGACATACCAATGTCCAGCACTACGGCCGCCTCGGCCTCGTGCTCGCGCCAAAAGCGCTTCTGCTTCCTATCAGAGGTGGGTTCATGACTCACCAAAGCTCCACTATGAGCAGGGTGCGACGCACCCAGCGTTTTCGACTTCCAGTCGATCCATGGCTCATGACGTTCCAGCCATGCCATGCCAAGGATGAGGTCATACCTCGCATCCAGGTCTAAGACCAAACAGCGTTCCACGCTATCGAAGTTCTCAAACTTCACTCCAAGGTCGACAGAGACCTTCGACACAGTTACCAGTGTCCCCGTCGCGAGACGGACAGAGATCGTATCTCTCGCTGGCACTTCCAGTGCCTCAGCATACAGCTGACTCCCTTCCAGGGTGGAGCGACGGGCGTAGTTGCCCGAGGCTCCCGAGTCAATCAAGACTCTCCATAGCTTTGCAAAGCCCTTCACGTTCGCTTGAGCGACCAGCAAGCCCGGCTTGCACACACTCTTCTCGTAAGAGAGCTCAGCTCTCTTCGGGGCTGAGCCCCGTTGTCCTCTACCTCTTCGAGGCACAACAGAACTCAGTTCTTCCCCAGTAGGCCGCCCCGCGCCTACTGGGAGTTGCCGTTTCCCGGCGATGACCCGGAGGGTTGGCTCGCCGGAGCCTCGCGCTTCTTGCGCAGAGGGCAATAGGCCCTCAAGTGCCTAGTGCTATTGCACACAAAGCATCGGCGGATGCCGGCGCGCTGCTCCGCAGCAAGAAGCTCCGCTTCTTCATCTTCAGCATAGCTGAGGTCCATCGGCTCTGGACCGCTCGAAGAGCTTGCGCTACCAGCGCTCCAACCAGGTCGCGCCGACCTGAAGTTGTGCTCGGCATTCAATGCCACATCCACCGCCTCTTCAAAAGAGTTAGGGTGTACACGGAACACTTCCGCTCGAGCTGCGCTCACACGAAGTCCCTCCATGAACACGGTCACGCTGACCAGTTCCGGAAGAGGGTCCGCCGCCATTCCGGCGATAAGAGTTCTCAACTCTTGGACATAGCCCAATAAATCCTTCTTACCCAGGCGGGTAGCAAGGAACTTTGACCGGATACGGTACGCCTGATTAGGCGGCGCGAACACGCGCGAAAGCTGTTGCTTCAGCTGATCCCAAGTGGGAATGCAGCGTCAACAGACGTGCCGCACGTTAGTGCCCATTCGCGAGCGCGACCTCCAAGCCTGGAGATAGCCAGCGCCACGCGCTGATGCTCAGACTGGAGCAGGGCCGATCCCATGGCCATCTCGACCTCACGGGTCCAGAGAAGGAGATTCTCTCCATCCTTCCCCTCGAAGGTTTTTACGCTCACCATGAGCGGTTTCAGTCTCATAGACTCTTCACGCGTCATCGACGCCGCCGCCGTTGCGGCGCTCATCTTCTCTTGGACATGCTTCAAGAGCGCGTTCTCGTAGCGGGAGAACGATTCCAGCCTGGCGGTGACCTCCTCTGGACCTTGCGATGCAAGATGAGCCACGCCCTCCGGGCCAAGCAAGGACATAAGCTTAGTAAGCGCGTCCTGCTGCGCCGGGGGCAAATTCGCGAACACGGGGTGTTCCATCCTCGCAGAGGATATAGTCAACCGACACAGGAGCGGGATTGACTACAAGTGCTACCAAGTGCAGCGGGGCTGCCGTAGCCTTAGCGTCAGAGGAAGACGTTCGACTCAAAGAGTCACTAATACTAAGTTCCTTATCCAAAGGACACTTACAGCCCAAGACCAGGGCTCAAAGTTAACACCTTAACTTTTATGCTTCAAAACCAGAAGTGTTTTATTTACTATTATTGCGGCCAAACCGCCTAGGGGTAAATGTATCTCTTTAACTATCTAGCATAGTTAAACCTAATTAAATGCAAAACGTGTGGCTTTCAGCCAACGTACTGAGAGACCTTGTTAACTCTCCAACTTATGTACTGAGAGTTTGTTAACTCTCCGGGTACTTCGTACCCCTGTGTGCTCCACACCATGTAACCCCGTTACATAAAAGCTAATTGGCTAACGTCTTAATACATATTGCTACCTCAGTGATGCCTATTTGTGCGTAGCTGCTAAGCTTGTTCACCAGTATCTCCAGTAGCATATCAAACGACAGCGACTGTGTGTTGGCAGTTCCTAAGCTTCTTTGCCTACAGTGTCCAGCAGCTCATAGCTGCACTCTTCGTGCTCGTCGACCAAGGCCTGAAACTCTAGCTGGGCCTGCATGACCCTTTCCAGTCCAGCGCTGATCTGGTCCAATTTTTCTCTCACCGTCGCAATTTCGACAAGCGAGCGCGCACCAATTCGTGCGCCAGCGAGGCGTCGTTCATGAGACGTTGTCTATGAGGTCGGAATTTTTAGCTTGCTTTGCTTTATGAGAGTGCTTCTTTCTGTAAGTGTGATTTGGTGCAAACTTACGTGATTTCTTTAATTTTAGAAAAAGATATCGAAACCACTCATGATGTGATCCACACATCAGCAATTACTTGTATTTTATTAAAGATTGCATTTTTCTGTGGCTGGGTAAGGCTGTTAGATGTTTGCTTTATAATAGTGATAAGGTTGCCATAATTTCCGCTGTCAGATAACGCCATCTATGTCTGAAAAAAACGAGCGATTCTTTTAAGTCAATTCCGATTAAGCCAGAATTTCTGGCTTAGCCAATAAATTCAATCACATTAAAATCCCAGAAGGGCCAATTAATAAATACTTATTCAACTTGAATAAGTATTTATTAATTGAATAATTCAAGTACGCTGTAACAACGCCGAAGTTCTCACGATTCACCGCTGCTCCTCACTCCAAAGCACGTCTCGAATATGTGCTGCCACTCACTCTCCTTGAAAGCGGGTTGCAATGCAACATCTGCCGCAGATCGCCAACGAGTCATGGAGTGAATCGCAAAAAAACCTCGACGTGCTTCGAGATCGCAGGTAACGACGTGCAAATTTGCTGCGCCTGTCCATCTGTTTCTTTTAATTAGCATTCGACCCCATTAATCTAGTTTTTCGCCAATCAAATCCTATTTTAATCAGTTTTCGACCAATCTCACGCTATTAAATATAGACATGATTGACGCGACGTACGTGGCCGGTCGCCTGTGACGTGTGAGCTTCCGATCATCATCGCAGTCTAATGCTGAACCAGCCAGCCATTCCGGATTGAGCTCTGCACGTCCCCCGCCTTCCTCTCTTCATCGTCATGACCGCCGCAACGTCCGGTCCTTTGTTGCGCCCGTTGCTGGCTGCCTGCTTCTCCGCCAGTGTGCATGGCGGGTGCGTCATTCGTGAGGTGGTGCAGCAGCAAGTTGCGCTCGACATGGTCAACAAACAGGAGGGCGCGTACGATCCGCAGACGGTAGCCGACCGCCGCTCACAGCAGCGAATTATCTATGCACTACGTGAGACTTTCCCTCAGCTCACCATTGTGGGCGAAGAGGGCGAGCTCGCTCCTCCAGCACCGAAAGACGTGGTGCAGTGCGACCTCAAGGCTCTCGATGGCGTCACCTTCGACGGCGACGAAACACTGAACTGGGACGACCTCGTGCTGTGGGTTGACCCACTAGACGGCACTAAACGCTTCGCCGATAAGATGTACGACGAGGTGTCCGTGCTCATCGGCATCACGTACAAGATGCGTCCCATCGCAGGCGTCGTACATCTTCCGTTTCATGGCAAACACGGCGTCACCTATTGGGGTACGAAAACCGCTCACCCCCATTTGCTCCAAACATTGGAACTCAAGTACTAATAGTATTTTATTATGATTCTACGCAGGTGGTCCGGGCGTTGGTGTTTTCCGCAGCGAACACGAGGAGACGGAGGCTCAGACGACGCACGCCAAGTTCTCAAAGCCGTCGTCAGTGGTCCCAGAGCGTCCGCTAGTCTGCACGGTGTCATCCACTAACTGCGACCAGGTGAACAATGCTTTGCGGTTACTAGAGCCCGCTACTGTCTTGACGGGTGGCGCGACCGGCACTATGGTGCTCGGCGTCATCACCGGCCACAGCGACGTCTTCTTCCGGTTCAAAGCAGCCACTCGCAAGTGGGATATTTGTGCGGTCGAGCCGTTGATCGAGGCACTCGGCGGCAAACTCACCGACACACAGGGCAACGTGTACGTGTACGACCATATCGCAAACGCGCCCGACTTTGACAACGAGCGCGGACTGATCGCGTGCGTGGAAGCGAAGGCCCACAAGAGCGTATTGAACGTCATGGCCAAGGTTACTCTCACGAGGTAGTTCTTTATCTCTTCCTCTTTCTTACTATTTAGCTCTAGCGCTATCATCCAAGATATAACAGTGTGTGCTCATCTGCGGCGTCTTGTTCTGTCAGTGCACTGGACGGTCGACAGGTGACGCCGCAGTGGTTTCAAGACTATGTTTTCCCCGGACGGCAAGTGTCGGGTGTCGATGTGGTGTCCGGTTCGATCCACCGAGGCACACACTCTGCTGTGGCCAAGTTGGAGGTGCAGTTCACTGATAATGACAGCAAGACGACGCTGTTTCTTAAGAAATCCGCGAGGAACGAGCTGCCGGCGAGATCGGAGGCACACTGGAAGCGCGACATCGCCTCATATCGCACCGAAGCGACGTTTTACGCCAAGTTCGCGACGTCGCTACAGTCTCGTGGTGTATCTCTCGTCCGACCACTCGCAGTGTTCCAGAGTGATGCTGCTGGCTGTTATACCAGTAATATGGTGGCTAGCGATACAGAGCAGGAGCAGGTAGCGACGTGTTCGAAGCCTGTAAACTTCATGATGTTGCTAGAGTGTCTCGGTTCAACGTCCTCTGACTCCTCACTTGGCAAGTACGAGGCATCAGATTGCCTTGAACTCGATGACACCCGACAGGCTTTGACGTACCTCGCTACTTTGCACGCGTCAGCATGGGGACAAGAGGAATTGGTTGAAAGAGTTGGCTCTGAGCTCTGGTCGGCGGCGTGCTGGTGGGCGTTTCCGAAGCGAGGCGACAAGGAGCTCGCGCAAGCGTCCGACATTTGGCCGCAGATGCTTAGCAACTGGAAGACCGTCTTTGAGGCCGACTCGTCTTTGCCGTCGACTACAGAGCTCGAATCGCTGGGAGAACGCATGGTCGAAAATGCCGCGTATATCAGTCGTTGTCTGTCCGTGGATACCGACACCAACGCTGCGTTGAGTACTGTAGTACACGGGGACTTCAAGAGCGCCAACCTGTTCTTTGAAACGCAATCTCGAGAGGTCATCGCGTTCGACTGGCAATGGACTGGCGTGGGTCTCGGCGCCATGGACGTCGCAAACCTGCTCAACACGTCGGTGAACATCTCTCTGCTCAGCGACGAGAAGGAGCTGGAGCTGCTGCATTTCTACTACGAGCGTCTGCACGAAAGACTGCAGGCGCTCGGCGTCACGGCGGACTACCCGTTCCAAGCCTTTCAGCGGCACTACATGCTGGCCACGCTCGAGTACGCGCGTCTTCTGATCTCCAACTTCTGGAAACGTATGACACCGCCAAGTTGCGAGGCTAAAGCCAGCAACGCCAACTGTGGACTCGGGTACCGATCCATCCCGCACGTCTTGCGGATGGTGCGTAAGCTGCACGAAGGTTTGGATCAAGTCAACTCGGAGCGTCTGATGGCATAATTTACGTGTTCCTTTTAATGGATCTAAAAACGTTCTAACTTTGGGTATTTCTGTACATGCACGCTTCACTTTACTTGGGCCTTGTTGAAAAATTGGTTGCTTCAGGTCATGCTGAAGTGCGAGAACGGCACGTGGTTCTCGCGCTCAGCTCCGTCATTTTGGTAATACGCTCGTCGCAGGGCGTTGGCCGATCTCGACGTGGTGAGCATGTTGGGGCCCACGAAGTCTCGTGGGGTGACGGTCCCGTCCTCGCTGAAGCTGAAGCTGCTACGTGAGCTGACACTGGGCGACAGAGGGGCCTTGGCCACCTCGTCGTACGAGTTGAGGTTGGCCAAGAATTCCAGGTACTCGGGCGCCTCACTGGCATCCGGGTGTGCCTCAATGGCCGCCAGGACGCGCTCCAGCGTGTGGCGTTTTTTCTGTAGCGCCGTCTGCGTCTCCCCCACGAAGAACGTCAAAAGACTATCGTTCGGCAGCTTGGGAAGCTGGGACTTGCCACCTTTCGTCATGAGCGGCGCGACCGCCTCGTGGAGCCGCTTGAAGTCCTCGAAACTGCGACGGATCGTGTACGACTGCGTCGTGCACGGACGCGTGGCGAAGGCGGACGTGCCGTCGCTCTTTTTGGTGCTTGGGCGACGGACGTTCTCGAATGTGTCGTCCTGCATGTGACGCGTGACTTGCAGCAGAAATCGCCACGTGCCGGTCTTGCGATCCTGCACGAGTCCGCGGATGGACACGAGCTGCGAACTCTTGAAGCTCTCGTACGGCATCGGGACGCGGGACGGTCTCTCGAGGTGAGTGCAAATGCGATAATGGCCCCAAAGCCTGCTCCAGTCTCGGAGGAGTGTCGCACGATTCGGACGAGATCCGGGAGCGTGCGTCGAACTCCCCAGTGGGAAGTTCCCACTGTAGCCTCTCGGGGGTTCGACTCGTTTGCTCGAACGCAGAAGCAAATCGTAGATCGCCTTTCGAGACTCGAAAAGCTTGGTCAGCGTTTTTCGGCCGACAGGCGATGTGACGTGAGTCAGTATCCGTGCGCTTGGCGTTTTGGTTAACGCTGTCGTGTAAAATTTATCTCGCGCATCGATGGCAAGGCGTCGATCATTGACTCGATGACTGTCGTCGAGCTAAGGCTGAGCCTTCCGGCATTGGCGGAGCCTCGAAATCATGTCGGGGGCGCATGGTCAGGCCGTGTTGACTCGACGCAGGTCATTGGCGTTGAAGTGGCTGACTCTGGCTCACATAGACCACTGCTCTCGTGCTGGCGTGCGGATCTGGCACCAGGAGTGGAGCGCGGGCTCCGGAGCTGATTTCTCGCTCAAATCTGGAACGCGCACGACACCGGAGCTCACCTGAGACTTCACCGAGAGGCGTCGATCGTTGCTCATCGCGGCGATTGCTATCGCCACACAGTCGCGAGTGAGCTTCTCGTCGCACGTGGCATGTTACCCAAAGGTGGCGGCGCTTACGCGCTCGCAAGCGTTAACAGAGAGAGAGAGCACTTGGGTATGTGCAGTCGAGTGACATACATGCTCGACAAAAGCAGCAAAACTTTCAGCGTTGCAGGTTACATGTACCCATGTTGACACCAGAGCTCCCACTGCAACGCCTAAACGAAGAACGTGACCTACACTGTAGGTCCTACAGTACACGTACCTGGTAATCAGGCTGGTTCGAATCATCCTTTCGGTCTTGTCGCTGCTAGCGCCGTCTTCGAGAGACTGGCGATTTACGTGCTCATGAATCATGATCATGAGTCATGATGGAAACGGCTGAATTACGCAAGTATGGGCGAGGAAGCCGTCGCTTCATTTGAAGCTTCAAAGGCACGACTCAGCAGCCGCACTAACTTCTTGAACGTTCCACCAAACAAGAACGTTCCTCCACATGCGTGAAAGTTCTGCTTCGCGAAGTGAGGGCCATCAGCCGCTGCGTGACTACAACCACTGGTACAGTATCCTCCTTTTATCCTTCGTCTCGCTTCGGTTGGTTGCACAGTAGAACTTGGTTTTGAAAGCAGCAAATATGTTCGAGTACACCCACAACAAACGTAGAATTGTAGCGCGGTGAGAGATCTTGGACGAGTCGGGACAAGCTATTCTTGGATATTGTGACAGGGACCGATAGAGAACATCATATTAATACGATCAACAAACTGAAAGTGTACTACTGTACAGTACATGTACGAATGTTGAAACTTTTTTTTGACAGCCGAGAAACGAGTCTCCACCCTTGTCGAATCAAATTAGTTGACTTCATTTATTGATGCTTGCTTGTTTATTGCTATTCTACATTCCTGTCTTGGTTAAATACTATCGCTCGCGCGATCGAACCCGCTCGCCTCTGCATTGGCGGTTGTTCATCACTCGCGTGTCAAAACACGGTCGAGAGAATATGCGATGCTCCTCTTACGACGACATGACGGACGCCCGGCACGGCGCAGTCCACGCCGGACACGACGTCTTGCGGATCGATCCCGTGCATTGGCCTGAGAGCGGAGCCATCACCTTTGCACTGATAGACTCATGGCCAAGGAATTCCAGTACGTCCGGTAGATCGCGCGCCACCGGGTGGTTCAGAATGTCCATGACGATCTGGGCCAGCACCTCACGACGCTCGTCCAGTAGCGCCTGGTTGTCTGCCATGATGAGCGTCATGAGACCGTCGGCCGGCAACGGCGTCAATGCGTCGCCCATGACGGAAACCAGCGCCGCGTGGAGCTGCTTGAACTCGCTGAAGCGACGACTGATAACGTACTCGTGACTGAAACCCTCCTCCACGGGTCCGCGTGGCGACGAGTATGTGCTCGTGTTGCCGCGCTGTACGCGCAGCACGTACATCCACGCGCTGGTGGTCGTGTCCTGCACGACTTCGGTGATCTCCACCTGCTGCTGCGGCATGAAGCTCTCGTACGGCATGGTTGCGGTGTTGAAAGTGTACTGAAGATAAGGAGTAGTGTAGGTAGTGGAAGTATGGGGCAGTGCTGCTAGCTTGTGTGTTGCTAAGTGTCTGCTTGACTTTGCTGCGGACTGAACGTTTGTTGCTGCAGAGTGATCGAAATGTGCAATGGCAGCCAAGTTGCCTCGCACCGATGAGTTCTAGCGCCAACAGACAGACGACAGCTAATCCTGATGGGACTGTGACCGACAATCGAGGAAGGACGCACCTTCGACAGTTAAAAAGTGGAAAAGTGGATTTTCAAAATCGGCTGTTGGGGTTCCTTCTTTTTTGACTTGGTGTTTGTGAACGAGAATGTCGCGGAAACCCAAAACATTTGACAAACATTTGCCTTTAGCCACAATTTTGGATTGCAGTTTTGCTATTGCGGCTAGGCGTGCCGAGGCGCTCGAGAATCGATGTCGCGGTTGTCGTCTCGCCACTTTATTTGCCCTGCTCTCGCTGCTTTCGTGCGGCTCGGCTGGTGGCAGAGCACGTGTCATACGGACCGATGAGCTCCGAGCTTGGAGCCCTGAAGAGACTTTAGCAACAAGTCGCCAACTCCCCTAACTGCGGCGCTACACTCGCAATAGTCAAGATAGTTAATGGTACAGCAAGGAGTTTGCCTCTGCATCTGATGCCGCTGCAATAGGCAAGTCACGAATAGCGCAACGCAGTAATATAAAAGTATTAATACCTGATGGGTATTCAAGAACCGGAAAACCTGGATTCTTATTTTGCATCCTCGAATACGTATCGAATTGATCCCAACTCTTGTGACTTCCTCCAGTAAACAGGCGCCGATAAGGGCAAGAGCTTTATAGCCTGTTTGCATTGACGGTGGACCAACCATCGTACCATGGTGTCGAGCTCATACCGTCGAATAGCACCAGTAGCAGCATTTAGCGAGGCATAAGGCGGCACCGGCCGGAGAAGCAAATCAGAGAAGGCACGCCATGCTGATACGGTGCTGAGCACCGTGCTCCAAGTCTGGCGCCAGGGGAGTGGCAATCTATGCACGTCGTGAGTTCTGTGAGGTAAATTTGCCTCTCCGTCATCACCATTGGTGATTCACGAAAGCGTTTGGGTTGTTTTGATTTAAAGAGTTTTGGGGGCTAGGTAAAAATATACCCTGTATATAGCGATGGATGCTTGCAGCGGCTTCGAAAAGAACTGAACGAATGCATCAGAGGCCACATATAATATCCGAGAGAATATGTTTCTCTGAATTTGATCGATAATAGCAGGATTCGGGAAAGCGCATTACTTACGAAGTGATTGAAAACTTTACCCTGTGCAACACCGTAAAAACATCAGCGTTTGCAGATATACACCGGTACTTACATGTATTAAAAGCGCTGTGTATTAAATGCTGCAAGACTGCTGCCGTACACATATTGTTGCGAGTCACCAGCAAAGGAAAACTTCTGATAGGCAACGAAGCAATTCTCTGCATGACAACAGAAATTGAATTTGAATAGCCCGAAAAGGTCGGCACCACACGTTTCGCTGCTGCAAGTTCAAAGAAGGTATCGCTTGTAGCTTATCTGCCCGCGCTTTGACGTTGCTCGTGCGCTCGCCGTCGTATGATCGGGGCTATAGCGCGTCATGCAGTTTGACTCTATGTCCGCATTGGACGGCCTGTAACTTCAAAGATAAATGCATCGTTGGTCGAAGGCGTTTGTAGCAGCCTGCTACTAGCAGGAGATGGCCACGCGGTGATCGCTGCTATCGAGTTGGTGACCGTGTGCTTTCCTTGATTTTTAAGTCAGAAGGTTTGACAGTTTTACCAGCATTTTGAGCGGTGCCAGTGCCGCAGCTGAAGGCCAAATTTTGCTTTTTTTTGTCTCCTGAGGCTGCAGATGTAGGAATCCTGGTGCTCTAGGCTTGAGGCACATGGTGGACACACTGACGTCACTCCCGGCATGGAGCCCACATCTGGCAAGTGCTCTTGTGTATTTCCTTCACGAAAATCCATCCAAAAATGCAGGTTTGGCATTTTGCGGTGCCTATTGTAACATTTGTGCTTTAATGGCTTCCCGTTAGATAGGCCAAGCTCTTGTCCGATCCGAACACTTAAGCCCCGCGACGGGGAAGCTCGAGCATGTCACTGGGACTGCGGGCTCGATGTGTGGGTCCGGATGGCCTGTAAGGCAACTCCAGCAACATATCCTTCGTATCGTTTCAGTTTTGACAGTTCCTTGTGAGTGTCGTTATGCCGCGTTCTGTTACTAATGGCATAAGGCTGTGGCAGGGGGTTCTCGCTTAGCGGTCGTATGTGGCGGTGATCTCATCTTTACATGTATTAAAAACTTCGAAGTTGTTCTTGGCGGGACGGGCTTCTGGGTGCTATATCTAAGCCGCCAGTACCGGTACAGCCAAGCTGCATATGTCCGCGGAGAAGAGCGCGAGCTTCTCAAAGGGCACTACATGTACATAGTCTCTTGGCTTGCATTCTTCTTCGAGAGTTTGTAAAACACCAGGTAGATGAAGCTGCTACGACGCGAAGCTCAGAGTCGCAGCCTCCAGCTGCCGCGCAGACAATATGGAGCTACACAGTTGAGATCGAGCACTGACAGCGACCGTTGAATGCAATGTTGGTCTTGGGACTTTCCGGGTGTCAACATCACTGTACATGTAAATAACTTTAGCAAAGTGTTTGCATGTTAACCGCCCGCTTGTACGGTACGACTTCCCGTGCTGTTTTAAAAACAATTAATACTACAGTATGAATCATTTGGCAAGCACTTCTTTAAATAAATATTTTAACCCTTTTACAGCGCTATTCTGTATTCTACAGAATAAGAATTATGACAGGACATAATTTCCAGCAAGCTTGTAATCGTCGCAATTCCTCGCATGCTTGTGTTTGTAAAGTGTGACGGGGTCACACAGCACCTTGCGCTAGAGGAAGTTATCTTCCGAGAGTATACAAACTCTCAGTGAACGGCAGTTCACAGGTCCCCTCTTTAATTAAAGAGAGCGAAGTGACCTAAATGAGGTAGATTGTAAACTGAGTATATTTATAGGTAGGTTAAGTTTGAGGTTAATACAAACTATCAGTTACCTATAGAAATGCAATGTCATTTAACCAATGGTTGGTTTTGAATGACCTTGGTACCTTGTACCAAATATCCCGGAGGATGACATGTCATACTCCTGAAGTGTGAAGTGTCACACTTCATGTAACCAGGGTACACTTAGTGCTACGTACCCCGTTACATAAAGGGTAGAGATGGGTGGTTCGATCTTGAAGGATCTACGAAGGGAAGATAGCCGGGGATAATTCGAATTGAATAGAAAAGACAGTATAAGATGACTGGAGGTTTTGAAAAATCAGTTTCTTGCTATTTTTGGCAGTTGTTGGTGACCACAGATTTCAGATTTATTCGAGAATGAACGCTCCCAACGAGAAACCGTTCAAGCAGTTATGGCGCGAGCTATCCAAGGCAGGATGGAAAGCGAGGAAGCCTAAAGGACTGAGTGCGGACTTCACGTACGTGATGCCCAGTGTGACTGGCCGCTTGGATGCAGAGAAGCGCGGAGCTAAATACTTCGTTGGTACGTTCTGCAGACAGCTCGGTATATATACTCACAGTACTGACAGATATGTGCAGGCGAACAAGAACTCATGACATTTGGACGTCGTCAGGGGTTGCTGGAGCTCTCACCTTTGCCATCACTCCCAGCAAGGATCCCCATGGGAAAGAATGCGGCGTATGAGTTGGCCCGCAGTCGTGCGCCGGTTGAAGAGGTGCTGCCAGCGGAAGAACAAGCGGCACCAACTTTGGAGGTGACGCCTACTCCTCCAACTCCTCCTTCGAGTTTCCCTCCGCGTACTTCAGCTTCTACACCGTCGACTCAAGCAGGTCAAGCAATTCAGCCAGATACAGAGCAAGAAGGTGGGAGCACCACTACTAGTATGGAGGTTCCCGGAATACGATGTACGCTCGGGTCATGAACGTGCCGACGAGTCGAAGAGTGAAAGAGACGATTTCAACGGGATTGATGAGTTTGATGGAGAGAACTTCATGGATGCGCTACGTGGGTAGAAGCTGTTCGGGTCAGCTGCTGTAGATGATGTGAATCTGTGCGATGAAGCCGAAGATGACAACGACAGTATTGGTTGTGACTTCGATGATGAGCTGGATGTGCCTGTGTCGCCACGAGAGGACTACGAAAGCGAAGTAGAGTCTGACAGCGACTGTGAGGAGGACAGTGAGCTATTTGTGTAAGCCGACGAAGACATGCGGCGCTTGGGAGCTTCTGGGTGGAATATTTATGACGAGCAAAATTCTGGTAAGTCGGTCGTCTACAGAATAACTCTTTTGATTCTTTTCTAACTCTGTATTATATTGAAAACAGGTGATTTGACTCTTGAAGCCGCGCAGTTGTACGACGGAAACTGGGGGCCAACTAGATCTGCAGCAGCATTTGCAGAGTCCTCATTAGGAATGTTTTTCTACTTTCTTCCCAAGAAGCTCTGGTTTGTGATTCAGAAGGAGACGAATTTGTATCGCGAGGCTTGCATCCCATCTCCGCCCCCTCAGCAACGAGAGAAGCAGCTTCAAGCACAAGCAAAGGATCCCCAAAAGAAGGTCGACTCTGTCCAAGAGATTGAAGAGACGCTACGGCGAGTAAAACCTATCCAGAATTATCCACGTGATTGGTCTCCTCGTTGCTCGAACCCTTTGTTCTCATACGGATGGCCTGGAAAAACACTGGTCTACTCGAGAAGATGGCGCAGTCTCACTGGTGGAACGTTCTCCAGGTTTATGAAGAGAGACAGATTCAAGATGATC